ACCAAGAACATTGGTAATAACCTCTGGGGCCTGCAAGACCAATAACTCAGAGGGAGGTGTGTGTGTGTGTGTGTGTGTGTGTGTGTGTGTGTGTGTGTACGTATACACTCGAGAGAGCACGTGTGTGTACACATGCATGGCATATATGTACATGTGAGGACTGGTGCCTGCAGTCCAGAAAAGGGCATTGGATCCTGTGGAACTGGAGTTATATGTGCTTGTGAACCATTCACAGTGGGTACTGAGAACTGAACTCTCTAGTCTATACACTATTTTTGTAAGAAAACAAAACATGTATTTTAATTTATTTATTTTGTTTGATGTGTATGAATGTTTTTCCTGCTTGTATGTATGTGCACCATGTTCACGTAGTGTCTTTGAAGCCAGAAGAGGATGTTGAATCCCCTGGAAGTGGAATTGCTGGTGGTTGGGACCTGCCACATGGGTACTGGAACCAAACCCAGATCCTCTGGAAGAGCAGCCAGTGTTCTTAAGCACTGACCCATCTCCTCAAATTCTATTTGAAATTAGCTTACAAAGTGGTAGTTTGCCATAAAGCTTTTTCATACATTCTTAGTTTGGTTTCCCCCATGTTCTCCCTCCTTTCCTCAGTCTCTCCACCTATTTCAAATGTTAGCCCCTGGTACATATGTAGTTTTTTTTTTTCTCACACAGGGTTTCTCTGTGTAGCTTTGGAGCCTGTCTGTCCTGGCACTCGTTCTGGAGACCAGGCTGGCCTCGAACTCACCTGCCTCTGCCTCCCGATTAAAGGCATGCGCCACCAATGCCCAGCCACATGTAGTTTCTCAAGAACTAAAACAAATTCTGGTTTTGTTTTTTTATGAAATTCTAAAAGGAAGACACTCTTTTTAAAATAATTACATTCACATGCTAATTAATTGTTTATTGTGTGTGTTCATGCATGTGCCCGCTTTGTGCTTGTACAATGGCATGCATGTGGACATCAGAGGGCTGCTTTGGGGAGTCGAACTCATGTCATCAGGCTCTGTAGCCAAGTACCTTAATCTGTTGCATCATCTTATTGGCTCCAACCACTCCTTTTTTTATAGGATTGCTTATGATGCTAATCTTATTTGTTGAGCACCATATAGGCCCTGCTCCCTGTCAATTGAGTGTCACACTCAGCTGCATGTGTTTTTAGGACTTCTTCAGTGACATTTCTCCCAGTCCTCTGAGTTGTAGATGTTCCACATATGGACAGTGTCTTGATCATGACGGTTAGGAATACTGAACAGACGCTGCCTCTTAGATACTAATCTACTTCTGTTTTATTTCTAGAATGTCCTTAGCCATTTCTCATGATTTTAAAACTGATAGCTGGGTATAGTGGCACATGCCTGTAATCATAGCACTCAGTTGACTGAGGTAGGCGGATTGAGACTTTAGCAGTCTGGATAACATACTAAGAACTTGTCTTTAAAAAATTAGCTAAACGAAGAAAATATATGAAAGATACATATTTTAAAATTCAAATACTGCAAGAACAAATAAATGATGAGGCAGCCGGGCGTTGGTGGCGCACGCCTTTAATCCCAGCACTCGGGAGGCAGAGGCAGGTGGATCTCTGCGAGTTTGAGACCAGCCTGGTCTACAAGAGCTAGTTCCAGGACAGCCTCCAAAGCCACAGAGAAAACAACAACAACAACAACCAGAAATGATGAGACTTCTCAGGGACTTGGGTAGGGAGCAGGATGAAGTCAGCTGCAATCTTGTGGAATAAAAAACTGTGCTTTCTTTTAGTGCCAGGGATTGAACCTAGTACCTTTTACATGCTAGACAAGCACTCTAATACTGAGCTATATATATCCCCAGCCATTTTACAAATTTTCTTATTTTGAGTAGACACTGACTTTGAACTTTATCTGTAGCACAGGCAGGCTTTGCCTCTGTTTCTCCCTTGGCCTCTGTAACAGTAGGCCAGTGGCATCAGGCCCTATAAAAACAGTGTTTTCTCCATGGTATTGGGGCATTTTAGCACAGATATGTAAGTGCAGCTGCACCGGAAAGGACGTCACAACACCCTGCACTCTCTGTGGCATATATGTTTAAACAAGGACCAAACAACCCAAAATGGTGGGAGTCACATTTGGTGTTGCACCCTTTGTAGCTCCAGTACTTGGTAATCCTAGCCTTCAGGAGGTACAGGCAGAAAGATGAAGAATTTGAGGCTTTCTTGGGCTACACAGTGAAGCCCTGTCTCAAACAAACTAAAATAGGGACTGTTGATGTCCCTCAGTAGGTAGAGTACTTGCCTAG